GGCTTACCCCTTGCTTTGCTGTATACGATCCACGGACGAGCGGTTAGTCTATGTGGACTGGGAAAATGCCAGGTTAAAAGAGGCCGCCAACCTCTTAAAAAAATCTACCTAATCAATATTAATCAGTAATCGATTTTGAATGGCATGTCTGTAAAAATGTATCCTTGCTTAAACGAACCAATAAGTTCGATATATGTTCTGTTTTCCAAGAATGATTGTTTTAATAATTAAATCACTCTAATAAAAATATTTAAAAATCCATCCGATTTATGGAACATTTAAAGCATTATATCATATTGATGTTACATGATATATGCATTCAGTATAATTTTAATGAAACGTATGGGAATGAATTTAAAATTTCAAACCAACGAATCGTGGTTTTGTTTACTGTATTACACTTTGTTCTCAATATTACACAAATAATACTGTAAACTATAGTTGAACTACTTTCAATCTATTTGGGTTGGACCATAGATGTTTTCAATTTGTTCATGCTCAAATAGTTGCATTGACGTTTATTCCTGAAGCATTTCCGAATTTTCAATACAGTTATACGACAATTGTTTGGTATCCATTGATTTCTAACAGAATAAATGTGAAATGAATTTTAGTTCACCTTGGATGGTCGGTAAACACAATTTGTCCTCTCAATGTCAGTCCTATGTTTTTTTTATGGGGGGCAATCAATCATTATTATTTCATAGTCAAACAGAAAATGATTATTTATGACCTAAACGGTTTAATAAATATAGTTTTTTTCTAAACAAAAACTGAATTCTTAAAGTGCAAATCATGTTCTTAATTGCTAAAAATAAAATAATAATAATAATAAAATAAATAATACCTAAAAAATAGTAGGTTGTGTGGTAACTTGAACGCACGGAGGAGAATATCGTACAAAAATACCTATTCACCAACAAAAGATTACGTAACAAATTTAAAATATTTCGAAAACCAAATAAATAATATCTATCAATAATAAGAAGCTATTTCATCTTTTGAAACGGTTCCTTGATATGTCAAACACGGCACAAAATCAGCTGCAGCCCGCCAAGTCTCTGCCTGACGTAACAATCATCTGTTGACAGTCAGGTCGCAACAGTCTTTTTGCTTCGTCAGCTGAGATAAGTGTGTGTTCAATCAAGAGCATGACAAAGTCAGTCTTCCTACTTTCGTAAATATGTATGAAGTATTAATGTTTGTCGTGGTTAGGAGAACCGTAGCTCTGCTCATTTATTTCAATTATCATTGTACTTCAGTTGAATCAGGTAATACACGGATAAAACGTTGATATAAAAATTGTACCAACAATTTTAGCATTAAAGTATTAACATTTTGTAGACTGATCCCATGCAATCAATTTGATATCACTATGCTGGTCTGCTGAAAATAGGTTCCTTTGCTTGGTTATTTTCAAATATTTATCCATATATTAAATAAACACTCCCACATCTAACAGTGACTATTAATGATTATTTTATTGACAAAAGTATCATCATCATCATCAATATTTATAATACGTAAAGCAGTTTTTCTGTGAACACTACTCCTCCCTTTATTTTGGCCCGATTTCATCCTTTGAGGTGTCACAAAATTCCTCTTAATTTTTAGTATTGCAATGTTTTACAATTTTAAAATTTTTACTCCCTAGGGTGTGAGGTGCCCTCAACGTCGATATTCTCCCATAATAATTACATTAAACGGATTTAAAAACAAAATACACATGGTAGTCGATCCCTATGCATCGTTTTATTGTATGAGGTATTTAGCATGATTTGTTGTATTTCGTTGTTTGTTATATTTTTTAATATCAAACTATCGAAATTAGAACACAAAAGAAATAATGTTTCGCCGAAAAAGAGTAAAAGGTAACAATTAACCTTACAAAAGATGAAATGTCTAATTTTAGATTCGAAGTACCGTTAACAAGATAAAATATTTTAGTGAAAACCCACATAAATCCAATACACAATAATTTATCGATGAGACCAAGCTATATGATTATTTAAACTATTATTTTGAAATCATAATGTATGATGAACTTGGAAATTACAAGTTAACAACTAGAATTGCATAATCAACTATTGTTTTACATGTTTTAAACAGTGAGCAACGAAAAGTAATTAATATACTTACCTGAATATTGCAGCAAAGAATTAAAACAAATGCATGTTTTCACAGGAAAACTATCTCCTTAAAAAAGTCACTTAACACTAATCCGTAAATTTCTAATAAAAGACAGTCACAAACACTAAACAACACGACATGGATAAGTACGTACCACGTACGAACACTACGCGTAGAAACATGAAAATACATCGTACCGTTCAAAAACATATCCAAGACAACAATGAACCAACAAGAAACTAATGTCATGTGATTAGATGAATTGCTAGTCAGCTGTTTGGTTAGTAAGAAAACGGCTTTTGGTTACATACAAGCCAAAATTGTTTATACTCAGCAATAAACTTTATACATTTGATTGTTGTACAATATACTATATTAATCGATATAATACATATAATTAAATAACTCATCGAGACTATTGTCCTATCACCGAAAAAATATACAGAAATAATAATAGCATAACTTAAAATCCAATGTATTTTATTTTATTCAGTTTCTAATTTTGTGTGTACTATACTATTATTGTGAGTAATGTACTCGTACTTTAATTTAGATAAAACTTTTAAATACATTTGCTATGTTATTAACAATTACACCAAATTTAAATTATTTTAGACTGATATTTTTACAAATAGGTCGGGAAGAATGCTCTATTTAGCACATTTTTCTATAAGGAAGAAGGTAATTACCATAGATTAAACATTTGGTGGCACGGTAAGACCTAGAACCGGGACCGATATACTTTTTAATTTTGATGTCCCCAGAGGCCAAATATACGTCCGTGAACACGATAACCCAAGTAATCTTTGTCTGATTTTGATGAAATTTGGTATGAATTTGTATATCTGGATAAACTTGATAGAGTTTTGCTTCATCTGCAGGTTTGCTGCAGCGGGAGTATTTTAATATTATGTTAAGATTCTGATCATATTCCTTTTGTAATTGCTCAGTTAAATTTTAGTATACAAAAAAATATATATATATTTGGGTAGCAGCTAATTAATGAAATAAATATTTTTACTGCTAACGTTTATTTTTATTTTTTGGTAAAGTGAATGCGGTTGAAAACACAAGTTTCCTCCATCTTCACTATTTATCAATACAAAATAAGTATTGGGAGTACACATTAAACTATGCTATGCAAATATTAATTTATAATTGGCAAGCATGTTGTAAAGTTAAATTATGCAAAACTTTGATTATATTTGGCTTGAATCCACCGAATGTGTACACAGTAAATATTTGCTTTCAATAACGCATACCTCTCCCTAAATCCCAAGATTGAAATATTTCTGATGTTAGAATTGATTGCATTTGAGCAATTTCAGTACTTTGGGTTACCATGAATCACGGTAAATTAACATACAAATTGTCTTAAATAATTTTTATTTTCATTGATGTATCAAATTTATAAAATTAATTTATGCAATTTATTAAACACCATGAAATGTGAAAGTTGATGCAAAATAAAAGTTGTTTATCGATTTCTCCATTGAGTTTCCTAAATTAATAATTATTTATTTATTGCGTTTAATACAGCACTGTAAGGTGTGAACTACAGCTGAATGACATCATAGATAAAAAAAATACCTTGTTTTGGTTAGTGTAATAGTCTATGATATCAGTAAATAATTTGTTTAAGGGTACATTATTCGTAATATATTTTTTTTACTTTATAACAATGTGGGTTTGTACAGTGAAGATTGCGCTTAGCTATTATCTTGCAGAATATCTCAAGAAATTCTTTATAGGTTTTTAGTAACGTGTAAGTCCTATTCTTTATACCAGAGCGCGCCTTAATTTCCAGTAGTGAATAACTTCACACGATTGTATCCAGACAATATTACTCAAATCCAGGGAGCAGCCTGTAGATATGTAGTAATTTGATAAATGTATGAATTCCCAATGCCTTCTCTATTATTGTCATTTTCCGTGTAACATTGACTATTTTTCTTCTTTATGATCTCTCAGAGAGTGGTGACTTCACAAAGTCTGCTCTGAGAGTTGGTCGACTTTATTCGATGGAATTTGCTTGTCACATATGACTAGGGGCTGGGAAAATCACACAATAATAGTCAATAAAAGAAATGTTGCATCAGTACTTGTAACAAATAAAACTAAATATCAATGTTTAACTTCTTACGTTTCTATTCGCTGTTAATGTTGTCAACATAGTGACACCTTCAGCATCCACTTCACTTGCTGAACCTCATTCCTTAAAAAAACTACCTAACCAGCTAAAGGACTTTAAATTATACACAAGAACAATCCTATATATTTCGAATTAAAAAAAAATACTGTAGTAAATCATAAACCTAATACAACTTTTTTTATGAAACCCAACTACATAATGAACTCGAATTATTACAGTGATTTAGTATATATATTCTAATAAATTATTTTCAGTTAACCGCAACTACTGTATCACCAATCACCATGGAATATATGCCTACAGCATGATGCAGCAGTATTGAGTGAGTTGTTTATGAATTCATGGGATGAACTACAATTAACAGCCATGTTTGAACGTAATGGATCTACGTGGTTGGAAATTTACATCAGGGTTTTGAAGCTGCGCTTTAAATGGGCTTTTATATAAGCTCCTTTTAATGAAATTAGATTGTGGTAAACAAAATATATTCTAACATTTCATGCATTTGAATCAAATTTCTTCATAAATGGTAAGCTAGCAAATTAAGGCTTGAAAAATATAAGTATTAATTCACCTATTTATTGTAGAACAATAAAAAATCAAATTAACCACACTGGGTTATGTTCAGCAAACACTGTAACAGCCAGCTAGATGTAAACATAACAGCTGATTCTAGTGATAAGATAGCACAAGCCGTCATACAGATTAAAACGTTTAGTTTTATATTGATCGTAAAGAAAATACCCTATGTGAATTTCCAGTAAGCTTGTTAACTGACATGTGCTTTTAAAATGTTAAAAATTGTCAATGAAAGAAAGATAAAGCTTAGTAGTTAATCATTTTTAGATATAGTTTTAACTGAATTTTTAGGTAAACATGTCAGCAATTGTATTATTTATTCTTATGGTAAGTAATCAACATTTTTATTTTTCATTTATATCCAAAAGTGTTTATAAAACTCTTTCAAATCCCTATCAAGTCCTTTTCCAATTCACCACAAGAACTTTTTCATAATTAGCAAGCTTGGTTGGTTATGTTAGTTTAAAATAGTTTAATTGTATAATTGATATATTCATAGACTAGGCTAACTGTTAGAAAATCAGAATTGAAATAAAAAAGTAGTGCTAGTGAATTAACGGAAAAGATACCTTTATTAATTGTTATACTTACCCATACCTCAAGTAAGTAGTATCATTGTATAAATTTCAATGGTGATGGTAAAATTTTAACCCAAACAGTTTTATTTTTACAATTTAAAAGAGTATAACAATCACACAAAGAATTAGTGGGGAGTGATGATATGGATATGTTTTCCATGTTTACTTTTTTGTACTCATTGATCTTTTTGATTTGTTGTATGTACCTGGCAAAATATTTAATGTAGGACCTACATCAGTATACCGCCCAAAGTCCAGTTTATAAGAACAAATTTTAAAAAGTTGAAAATTGTTGTAACAAATTTATGGGCCGTCCACATATTCCTATTCCGTAACGCTTAAGGGTGGGGGGAGAGGCTCGTCTTAACATTAGGAGGAGGGAGAAGGTAACTTGCTGAAAATCTTCTTGTTTTAAAAGTACCAAAATGATAAAAATTATTTAAAAAACATTCACATTTATTGAACTTAAACACACGAGTAATATAATTAATTACAGATTTTTTTATTTTTTATGTAAGGGTTTATTGATAACGTAGGTTTAGATATTACGTGTTAAAATAAACTGCAAAGTCTGTTCTTGAAATGTTTGTTGTAATAAATATAGGTATCATTTTAAAAAAAACTATTTTTTTACCTCAGGAGAAAATTTACTTACTTACTTACTTACTCCTTCTTCATCTTTTACCCAAAAAAGGGATAGATTGCGTCTCGACAAAAAAATAAAACATTTCTTTTACACGCACAAAAGAAAAATAAGTCCACAACGTGTAAAACCGTTTAGATATAAAAATCAATATATATACATATATACAAGTTAAAAATGACTTCCAGGGATGATGGAAAAGATGGCTACCGCATGTTTGCTATTTCCTTATCATCCATCAACTCAAAGATGCTGCAGTAGGCTCTCTCTTTAATTTAACCTGGATTTCATACCCCACAACCTTGTTTAAGAAAATATCTGATAGTGTTACATTGAGGGGGGAGGGGTGGTGGTGGTTTGGTTTAGGTTCGCGTTATGCAGCGTTAAAGGGGGTGGACGGGGCCTTAAACGTAACGAAATACTTGTTACGTAATATTACTTGTATATGGCCTAAGGTATGAATGGTTAGCAAAGTTGGAAATCCAACTTAGTGTTGTGTTAATGCAAGTAAGTAAGGAGATAAACTCAAATACTTTTGAAAAGTATCCAAGCTATTCAAATATCGGCATCTTTATGCCGAGCGTAAAATATGTCATTATTGCTCCTTATTGAAAATACCTACTTTGTATGGTCGCCATTTCATTGAAAAGTATTTCAGTAATATGTAGCTTACACAAAAAATAAGACTCTATGACCAGCGGCATTTGGAAATACTTCATCCTCTACTACTTTTTTTTTTTTTTTTTTTTTTTTAATAGAGGGCCAGGCTTACAAGTTACCATGGGATTGCATCGCAGCTAGAACAGCTTATTGTGCACCCTCGTTCACAGGTCCTCATTCTCCGTCAAATCCCAGGTCCTTGGTGAACCGTGAGAGCCTCTTGACTATGGTGACCTGTTCTTCCCTTTGGTCTCCCATCAATAGGCCAAGGGATCTCATACGCAGACCTTGTAGGGCTGGGCAACTAAATATACCTTCACAGCTTTCACAAGGTCTCTGGCTGGGGCAAGCCGTAGCGAGATTTCCCTGAAAGGACTCAGCTCCTGAACTTGCTTGACCAGCCAATCCTTTGTGGCTGCGTCAGCACAGCCTCCACCTTTCTTCCTGGAGGCCTCATTAGAGTCAGCTTTGGGGGTACCACCCTTGACCTGCTTTTTCCCAGCATCCTAGTTCCCGGAGGAACTGGCTTTACAGGCAGCAGAGTTAGGGTGCTTGGCAGCCCACACCAGCCTCCTCTCACTTCTGGATAGCACCTTTTCGCCTTTGGCTAAAGCATCCGCTATCCTCCATCTTTGCAACTCACCCCTGGAAAGTCGATTTTCGTACGAGGGATCTCATACGCAGACCTTGTAGGGCTGGGCACATAAATATACCTTCACAGCTTTCACAAGGTCTCTGGCTGGGGCAAGCCGTAGCGAGATTTCCCTGAAAGGTCTCAGCTCCTGAACTTGCTTGACCAGCCAATCCTTTGTGGCTGCGTCAGCACAGCCTCCACCTTTCTTCCTGGAGGCTTCATTAGAGTCAGCTTTGGGGGTACCACCCTTGCTCTGCTTTTTCCCAGCATCCTAGTTCCCGGAGGAACTGGCTTTGCAGGCAGCAGAGTTAGGGTGCTTGGCAGCCCACACCAGCCTCCTCTCACTTCTGGATAGCACCTTTTCGCCTTTGGCTAAAGCATCCGCTATCCTCCATCTTTGCAACTCGCCCCTGGAAAGTCGTTTTTCGTTCCTTTCCGGTTTCTGCGAGCTTGTCGTCATCGTCAGATTTCAGTAGACCTTCCTCCTCCATTTGGGTCAGACTGTCTACATTGTTCTCACGAATACCAGGTATTTAAGTCCACCTCCCCAGTGACCCGATTAGAGAGGTAAGGGGTGTGTACGACTGGGTTACCCCTGGTTCCCAGAAGGCTCCGTTAAGACACTGAATATTAGGCCCCCAGTGCCACAAGACTCTTGGCACGGATCGCATTACACCTTAGTCTAGGGCCCCCCTCACTTGGTTCTGTAGGTGGACCAACACCCAGTGGCAGAAGGTAGCTCTCCGCAGCTAACAAGTGAGAGTTGGGGTTTAGGTTGTGGCCAATCTGCCGAACCAACCCCGCATGCGAGGTTTGGCCGGAACGGCGCGAAATTTTCTCCCACTCACTAAACCCCCATACCTTCCCCCTCTACTACTTGATACAGAGGTGTGTTAGTTGGACAACCTGATTTGACAAATCAGCTGACGCATAATAGCTGGCAGGGCAGGAAGAACAAAAAGAACAAGCAAGCTAAAACAAAACTAAAACATAACATAACCTTTTAACCCAAACAAACAAACACAAACATTAATAATTGCTGAGAGCTGAGCGAAAGTAAAATTTATAAATTTTACCGTACTGCTTGAACGTTTCATAACAAATTACATCGTAAGTGTTACTATTTTATTACGAACTGTTGCTGAACGAATTTCGCTCACTTGTAATTACCATAGTAAACCAAACTAGGCCTTATTAAACGTTGCCTAGGCTCTAGCTTTGCTCAAGTGCTAGTTTCGACGATTTTATTGTGTATTATTAATTATTATCATTAATGTCTTACAATGCAATCCATCCAACTTTTGTTTGTTAACGTTGGAGAATATCAAGTATTTAAGTAGGTAGGCCTATGTTAGTAAGTTAATGCTCTTAAACTTAAGCTTAGCGTATCTTATTTATAATAACTTATATAAAAACGTATTCCCAGTTCCATAGTCCTAACTAAACATTGATGATTTGCCTAAATCACAAACTTAACTCAGGCCTACGTCCTAACACCAATCTAACTTAATACAAAGCATTTTTGGAAGGTACAGAAACAAGTCACATGTAAGTTAGCCTAACTAACTTTATCTTCATTTAAAAAAATAGTTGTTTAGCCTCCGGATTACTGTATTATACTTAAAATGGTTTACAATACCTGCATATAGTAATCCTTTGTTGCTGATTTGGGCAACTAGTTTCGGTTCATTATTGAACCATCTTCAGGCCTCAAGGTGTCAAATAATCACTTCATTCTAGGTCTAGACTTCAATTTAGTCTAGACTTTACCTCAGCCCGGTCACGATCGATTGTCAATGTCCCTTCGTGTTTTTTGTAATGTGTGTCCGTTCCGTGTATCGTGTTTTGTATAGGCCTATGTCTTATTTATTGAACTACTCTGTTATTAACGACCTTCGAATGAAGTGATTATTTGACACCTTGAGGACTGAAGATGGTTCAATAATGAACCGAAACTAGTTGCATAAATCAGCAACAAAGGATTACTATATGCAGGTATTGTAAACCATTTTAAGTAACTTTATCTCCTTCACAAAGGTTGTGTTGTCAATTGATCAAACTCCCATGATAAATAGAGAGAGAAACACTTTAATAAACAATCGTCAAGATTGAAAATAGCATCATAAACAATAGTTAGGCTTTTTACAAATACAAAAAATGTGTACAAAAGCGAATGAGTCCATTTTTTTACACTTGGAAATTGGGCCAGTCCAAAAATTCTGTAACAGAAAAAAATGGTCGTTCAATTGGCCACTTCTGCAACGTCTTCTTGAAAGAACCAAGGTGAGACCTCTTCACTTCCATTGGCAGGATATGTACAGCTTGGCTCCTGCGTATGTGGGCTTTCGCTGGAACCTCGTTGTGCGGCGCACTGTCAGGTTAAAGTCCTATGACATGGATAATAACCATGTTTCCTTAATGTTGATAGCACAAACACATTCTATAAGACCTGTCTTGCTTGCAGAATGTGAAATTTAGGAAATTTATAGCTAGCCCTAAAGTAATAACTTAGTGATACTGTAGTGAAAGATACAGTTCGACCCTTCTAGTAGCGTAATTATTTAGGTGCCGACGGAGGGTTAAATTTATTGATGGCTTCAAGTTTTTTTTTTTTTTATATAACTTATTTTTACAGGCTGTCTACGAATCCAATCAGCAAGACCCATCTCTTGATACAAATGCTTGGCTTGAAAAATATGACAAGTACAGAAAAATAATAGAAGAAAATACTGAAATTACAAATGAAGATAATCTGACGCCTGAAATCAGGCTGCATCTTATAACACCTCGAAGTAAACTGTGGAATGCCAAATCTAGAGATTCCCCCTTTAAAGACAGTCCGTTCTTTGCATTTTACTGGGCTGGTGGTCAGGGATTGACAAGGTTGGTTTAGTGTTAAGTTAAGTGATTGTAGGCTATCAATTTTACACACGTTAATAATTTAAGCACAATGATTGGTGTCAGATCCTACACTTACCACATTTATAAAGTTTCGATATGTCGGCTTACTTAAGTTATGTGTTGCATTTTATCAACTCTTGATTGATTCAGTATTCCTTCAACAGCAATGTTACATTTTTTTCACGATAACTTGGTTAAAATCACTAGTGAACAAGTTTTGTTAAAATTAACTTACCTTTGTTTTTGAAGGCTTGTTTGTGTATTCTCTCACAGTTTTCTTCCTTTGCCTGAAGATAATTGCCTGTAAGTTATTTAAATGTGTTCTCAACTTCTCTAAAACAACAGAATCTTGCAGGTATATATTAGACCACCCAGAAATAGTGAAGGGAAAAAGAGTGTTGGACCTAGGAAGTGGATGTGGAGCGACGGCTATAGCTGCGGCTAAGTGTGGTGCAAAATCTGTTACTGCTAACGACATAGATCCTCGTAAGTTTTGTCAACTTGTTTCTACTTAGGGATGTAGGCTAACTGAGTTGCTTGGTGGGGTATATATTCTCGTTACCTTAAAATGAAAAAGGTAGGTAGCTTTTTTTTAAATTTGCTCGTACACATGGGCCTTGCTCCTGTGCGATGAACGTCAAGTAAACCACGGGGTGAGGCGGTACAGGGCAAAAATTAAATGATACTGATACCTAATTTTAAAAAAATGATGATCCCAGGACACGAACCCGTCCTCACTGCCATGGCCTTACAGTCTGTCACGCTGCCTACTACTCTGTTTTCTATTCTCTGTATGAACCAATATCTCAGTGTAATAACTTTGGCATTATAATATTTCTGACTTAAAGTTTTTGATGATTTAACACGTTGACTGCGCGTGCCGACTATACAGGCGCTCCCCAGTGGCGGGCGAAGCCCCGGCGCGCAACCGAATCAGCGAACGCAATTGGCATTCAAATATTTCAGTCTGACGAATCACAAAAGAGCAGTGGTGACTGTGCTGCGTTACCCCGAGAGTGGATGTAGTTCACTGAAACACCCAAAGGTAGCAGCACTGCATGGATCCGTATCCAGTGTCTTTGTAATGTGGGTTGAAGAGAAAAAATCCCCGAAACCGGGACAAAAGCATTGCCAGACAGGATTTTACGGGAAATTTTAGTACCAACCTACACCAAAGTAAAGCTCACATTCTAAGCTGGCAGGCTGGCAACGATTATAACGTCTCCGTCTGAGGCTAAGCTCACACTGACTCAATATATTTCTGTTGGTCTGGTGCCGACTTTTGTCGGCGCGCGCCACCTGGGAGCGCTGTTGACGCCGACTGACGTTGGCGCGCGCAGTCAACGTGTTAAAGAGATATGTGTTTTCAGAAATTCAAGATCTCATGAAATATGTTAAAGGCTGATATTATTACGTTTATGTAGGCCTACCTGTATTTAAAGGAACAGTTCCGGCCATATAAAGAGAGAAAATGTCCAGGTAGACCCGGTTACATTGTGAAACCAAGGGGGCCCGCTACCCCATCCCAGCGGTCATTGCTACTGCCTCCCTTTAATTCTTGGAAATAACTCGGCCCAGTAAAAATTCTATAAATCAAACTAGCCAATCAACGAAGCAATGTAGAATTGTGATTCAAATTTTGTGATGTTCGTCTTCACTTTGTGAATATGACCTGTCACTTAATTATAGGCGATCACACGTTCGATTTAAAGAATTTGTATGGGGCCGAGTTATTTCTAAGAGTTAAGGAGAGGCAGTAGCAATGACCGCTGGGATTGGGTAGCGCGCCCCCTCGGTTTCACAACCAATAGCTATGTTTTGACAAACAGCGGATTAGGCCTGACCAGGTCTACCTGGACATTTTCTCTCTTTATATATGGCCGGAACTGTACACCAGAACGTAAAATGGATGAAGTTAGATTACCTACTTAACAAGTTTTATTTGAACCAATAACACCTACGGTACCTATAAATCTTGGGGCGTTACAGCTTTCATTTGGAAATTACTAGTCAGTAGCCTATTTTGTGGGGGTTAGGTAAACAGTCAGTGAAATCCTTTAAGTGGTTTATTACAGGAAACCCCACCAAGAAACTCAGCTACACAATGCGGTTACAATTAAACTTCTTTTTAAGGTTGATTGGGTTAACAAAATCACACCATTACATGCAGTGATGTGATTTTAAAATGCCTAATTTTTGGTTAAAATTAGGATTTAATTCTGTGAATATTCCTTGATCATTGTGCACAGATTAATTTAAAGACTGCCTTGTGTTTGATTGTTTTTACACATATTTGACACTGCTTTGTTCATAATACCAGTAGCCTAAGTAAATATCAAGTGTAGGCCCTATTAATAATCACCCTTTCTATGCTTTTGCATTTTATCAAAAAAGCTATTTAATTAGGGCCTAAGTTTAGGGTTCTTAGCATAAGCTAACTTACATTAAAATTATAAACAGGATGTCCCAGAGAGAGGTTGATACTTTTTAAAATTATAATACCATACGTCTATCATGCTACAAACTGAGGCTATACTATAACGCTTATGTAAAACAGTACTTCTGAAGGCCATGCCACACCGAGCTCACTCCCGCGGTGGACGCACAGTTTGAAAAAATTGTTACCGTGTTAACAAATGGAACAAGTCACTCAGAGCATTTTAGTAGTTCCCCCACAACCACTTGCTGAGCAATTTGTTTAGACTACCGTAATGGTTGTGTGGTCCAGCGCATGAGCAGAGGTTGCTTTACGGTAGTCAGTATCATTTTTCTTTATAACATCTTCAAATAGTGACAACACTTCTTTGAACTGTTTTGGGTTCAGTCTGAAGTAGCCTAAGTTTTAACCCTTTCCTCGTCGAGCTCCAACTCTGCTACATGATGGTGGGATTCCCCATAAGTTTCTCTCACTTGTCATTTAGAGAGTGAACTCATTTAGACCTCTTGCAGGACACCGGCTGTAAAAGTATCAGTTCTTCGTCACTACTAGAATCGTCCTACCCCATGAACCACTATTTCGTAGGAAATCGCGGTTGCAGCAAGTTAAATCGGACGACATCTTGTTCACTACTGGCATTAGAAGTGGCTGAAATTCAAAGTGACAGCAACAAGGCTCAGTGGGTTCACTGAGATGAGCTTGATCCATCTCACCTCAAAACTCTCTCGCAGGCGCAGTACTTTTGGTGTGGACTGGCTCGTGTTAAAACATCCACATGCTTACCTTCCTCGGTGGTAGCGACGGATGTCGGTGTGGCATGGTCTTTAGTCTCATTTGGTTTTGATTAATCAGGATAAAATAGTGAAGCAAAAAATAAGAACGAAATTAGCCTATATGTTTGCTAACAGTACGGTATTATAAAGTGCCTAGCGGTTGATAGATATCAGTTTGAATGAAGAGTTATGAATTAACTTTTTGATTGAACACTAACCTATCTCTTTGCTTAGGTAACATTGTTAAAAGAACAATCTACTTGAAATAGGCCCTAGTTTTACAAATAAAATTACTTTTACAAAAACACACCATTAGATTTAAGCTCAGCCATTGTGTAGAATACAAAAATACCCCTTTTCACTAGCACTTCCCAGTGACAAAATTTGTTTCAAGAATATTTCATACAATTCACTGAGATAAATCATTCGTAGTACAAACAAAAAGCATAAATACATCATATATAGGCATACCATTTTACGCCCTCGGATGGTTCTATTGTGATCTTCAATGAATTTAATTACTGTAATATTATGCTGTAGCTTATTAATTTGATGTCTAGCTACAACTGTTGACTATTTAACATAGTGAACGCTACAACAGACATGGTCACTGATGGTAGGATATGTGATTGCAGTGGCCTGTCTTGCTATCAGAATGAACGCTCAGTTGAATAACGTGAACGTTACCCTCGATAATACCAACCTAATAGGTCACCCAGCGTGGCATGATTATGATGTCATTTTGATGGGCGACTTGAGCTACAACTATAAAGAGGTTGTCCTAATGATCCCTTGGTTCGATAAGTTTGAGAGTCAAGTTAACAAAACGATTCTCATCGGCGATCCAGGACGACCCTACTTATCGGTTTTTAAAAGACGGCACCATTTGTACAGAGTAGCAGAATACCATTTGTCCGAAGTATCGAGATACATAAACAAAGGGTTTAAGATGTCAAAGGTGTATAAATATTTCCATGTGAAACCGAGACGTGTAAAGCCAAAGCAGTTGAGAATCTATTTGAGAACTACTCCGCGTCAGAAAGGAACAAAGTATCCGAGGCGACCAACATCGCGGTGGGAACTGGAGGATAGGAAGAAGAGGAAGCGGAGGAGATTTAGGAAAACAAAAACACCACCAAAAAAGAAAAAAAGAGGACATAAACGCAAGGGAAATATAAAGTCTTAGTATTATTTCTTAGGTAAATTATTAACTATGCCTGAAGTTTTTATATGCAATAAAGACATTTTTAAATATTTGGTCTTTATGAATATTTTTTCATGCAATTTTAATTATTAATAAAAATAGCACAATCAAAACATGTTCTACAGTAAATATCTGTTCACAGTGACATGTTTCGGTATCGCAATGAACGCAAAACTAAACGACGTCGATATTCGAATCACCTCGGAGAATCTGATGGAACATAACGTATCGACCTCGTTGTGGGACATCGTACTGCTCGGTGAAATGTGTTACGATCCTGATATATCCAAGGAAATCTTACCATGGTTGAGGAGGGCATGCCAGGCTGGAGTGGAAATTGTGATTGGTGACCCGGGGAAAATATACCGCGCTTATGTGAAACCCAAAGAGCTAACCCAACTGAAGCATTACTTCATGCCCGACATTGCTGTGGAGAAATATGGACACATTACGACGGAAGTTTGGAAGTTGAATAATCTTGGTTGAGCACTGAAATAAAAATGTTAGGCCTAACTCACTTCTTTACATCGGTAAACAATATGTTGTTTTGTAATTGGTTGTGAATTGCTGATGTTAATTTTTGCAATTAGACAGTAAATTAATTTTGATACCATCAGAAAAAAATTGTTGACAGTAAAGAATTAAATATTTATCAAACTGTTATTCATATTTTGTTCCTGGTCTCAATGTTGTACAATTAAAATCCGTGAGGCATAAACAGCTGTTTGTATTAACAATTAACTGAAGTTAGTGGAAAATTTTAAAAATATTTGAGGAAGGATTTTGATTGTAATGTTTATTTTTGGTTTTCAGTGAAATGTTTATATTTAGACATGAACACACGGCTGAACTTTGAATTAGAAATCAAAGTAAGAAACAACAGTTATTTTAACAACGCAAATTTTGATGCGTGGGATGTTGTTTTGATAGGAGATATGCTCACAAAAACTCACCCACGGATGAAAGTACTAATTAATTGGATGAGGTTATTTCGACGAGAAGGTAAACAAGTGTATATTGGAGAACCTTCTTCCTCTCTACGGTTGTTTTTTCCGAATCAGTTTGAATGTCAACTCTTGGAAACTTATCAAATACCATTGACACATCATTCACTATCTCGTCCTACCTCAGAAGTTTGGCGACTGTTACTTACGTACGAATAAGTTTTAGTCTGCATTTAAGTAGATTCTTAAAGTCGAGTTTGTCGTGCTAATTCTATGTATCTTTTATCAAATGTAAAAAAAAATTAAAAATAAAAAATTTGCTAAAATTGATTGCAGATGCTAATGGTTTTATTGACATTTGACTGTTTTTGTACAATACATACACAATATTTATTATATTGTGGTTTTTACAAATGGAAAGCTGGGAATAGAGCATTCTTGTTATTCAAAATTTAAATTTAGTAGAATATTGCATCAAATTGATCCCACTATTGTTATAAAGTTATATTTGATTTTCATAGTAAAAAAATCAACAATTAATTATCCAGTGCCTTCTCCCCTTTAACCTGTTCATTGTACTATCGGACCCTTTAGCTTATTCATCTTTCTTTTCTTATATTTATTTTTTCCCCTTCAGTGTAAATAATCTCTAGAAAGTGAAATTAAACATTGGCCAAAAGTTTACATTGCATCAGAAATTTTATGTAAAATATTTTTTTATATTTTTTTTTTATTGTAATTAAATTGAGCTACCGACAAAGAGTGCTTTTGAATCGCTGATTTCTATTGTATATACTCAAACATTATAAAAAGGGATAAACTGTAAAGCCAAAGTTTTGTAAGTTGTAAGCTATATAATCTTTGATCATTGACTATATATGGTCAATGCTTTTATGCAACAACTATCAAAGTATCGGAAAAAGCAGGATTTTTACAATATGACTCTGTAATCAGCTGATTCAACTATGTTCTTTCTTTATGAATGAGTAATGTGCTCCTTACTGCATTCGGTGAGTGTTTGTAGTGAAGCGCCTAGCCCAGTCTAAGGGTACTAGGGGGTGATGAAGCCTATAGGAAAAAAGAAAGTGTGACAGAATGTCATATTAAAAGGCTGGTTCACATGCCCTCCGTCGCTTGCGAGCAGCCTAAACATAAACGGTTCTTGAGTTGGTGTTTTGATCACGATGACAAAATAATGGAAGAGGTTGACGGGTTGTTCGGAGGCGTTTTAACTAACATTCCACCGTAAAATTATTAACAGAAGTGTAATGCAAAAGTATTGATACCAATTCCAAGGCCGGGCTACTGTGGGTTCACTGTGAACAGGCCTAACCCTAAAACATCACTCCTCACTGCAAACACTTGCCGAATGTCGTATAGTTCATAAAGGAATGTCCACCAAAAATTTCAAAATTTAATATTACCATTTAGTGAACAATATGTTTACCACAAAAGTTAGGATGAAGATAGAAACTAATGTAAACCCATGTTTACAGTGCATTGTTTACTAACTGATATGAACGCTCGGTTGAATAATGTTGCTATCAATATTACAAATACAGACTTTGTCTCGGATATGAAGATCGGAACCAGTGACGATTGGGATGTGGTGTTAGTTAAAGATATGTTCTACGAGAATCCTCTCGCCGAAGAACTGACTGAATGGTTGCGTTTGGAAAAGGAAGCAGGAAAGTTCATTTATATTGGTGATCCGGGAAGGTACCTCTTCATAGCAGCTCAGCATAAACCCGGGAACTATTTTGAGTTCATTACGAGATACAAGTTAGGTATGAAAATGTACCAACAACACGGCTTTTTCGACACAGAAGTTTGGAAAGTGTTTTACTTGTCTGAATAAAAAAACTCTTTGTGTCAGTTTAGTATGTAGTGGTCATGTATTTTTATTTTTATTGCTAGGTAGGAATTCAACCCTTAATCTCAGTAAAGTGCCAAAAACTCTGCATAATACAGACGGGAATGGGGTTTGAGAATTGCCAGGTTTAGGGAAAAAGCGCCAAATATTACTGCAGGCAGTCTACATAATATTGTTTTTTATTTGTTTGATTTTACAAATAAATAGATACTACATTTACAACCTTGATACATATATTATGTTTAAAGAAGAAAAAACGTAGTTTCTTTTTCTTTCAAAGCTATTGTGCTGACTGGTTGGTCAGTGCTTGGTTATTGGGTAAGCGTGTCCCTATCTCAATATTAACAAGTGTTTTGCTATTTCTAAATTGTAAGGGTAATATGTAACTTTTAAAGCTATCATGTTCTTTAGTTTGCAACCAGGGTCATTATTAACACCAATGTTTAATTATATGAACCTTGAGTAACAATTCTTTGCGGGTTTTCCTTTAAAACCCAGATTAGCAGAGTTTGCAGAACTTTACTAGGCCTAAATGTATTTTTCTCATTTCAAATTGGATTCCGTTGGACAGTCATTCAAATGTATCAACTATGATTTTACAATAATTCATTTTTCAACGATGTTTTGCCACAATTTTCTGTTAGTGTGACTGTGTGTAACTTCTGTTCTACCATAGTCACAATTCAGAATTCATAATATTAACGCAAATGTATTGTTTACAGTTACGTGTGTCAGTATCGATATGAACGCAAAGATTAACAATGTCAATATTAAAATCACAAAGGACAATTTGATTGCCAAGACTAGAAATTTTACAGAGTGGGACTGTGTATTTTTTGGTGACGTGTTTTATGAATTCGACATGATGAAAACAATGGTTCTTATGATGAGAAAATCTTGTGCCAAAGGAACAAAAATATTTATCGGTGAACCGTGCGGAATTTTTAGGGCGTACACCATGACTAATGAACTAAAACAAGTGGCTCAGTATACTCTGCCAGAAGCAGCCGAGGAAATGTTAGGCTACGGTACAACTTTTATATCAGAATTTCGTTGCTAAATGTGTTAAGAGTTGAATTGTATAGTTTTAATTGAACGAAGCCCCTATTAAAGCTCCTAATTCATCCACGGCAAACCATGTGGAAGATTCATTTGGCTCTTTACTCACTGTGCTACAAACAGTTTTAAATACGATGGATAATATTAATTAATATGTATCCGTTCCTAGAGTAATTGCAGTTAAGATACTTGGTTTTATCGATTGAGTTGGAACCAAAATGGAACTGTAGGTCATCATAGACCTACAAAAAAAAAAAAAAAAAAAAAAAAAAAAGTTTGAAGTAAAGTTTGAAGTACTTTTGCACTATGAGTCATATAGGCAGCAGCTGGTCTCTGACAAAGGATTTGCTTATTAAGCCAAGTAGATATCACTGAGCTCCCGTATTTGCTATACAGGATTTGTGCAACAGATTTAGCAAAAGTATTTATATTGTAATAACCTAATATAAAATTTACCTTGACACTATTACTCATACAAAAATATTTAAGACACTTCATCGTAAGTTTTCGTTTTAGGAGCTTGCATAATGATTGACATGAACGCTAAAGTAAACAAAGTTAAGTTGCATATCACTCCAAAGGATCTTATCCAGCAAACCAATCTAACCAGGTGGGATGTAGTTTTGGTGAGTGGTGTATGGTACAAGTATGAAGAATTGACTTTGCTGGTGTCCAAATTGAAGATGGCCTTCAACAACGGAAAATCTGTCTACCTCGGTGATCCCTCTGGGACTATTAAGTTGTTTGCAAATGAAAACGAATTTAAAACAGTCGCTGAATATGAGCTCAGTGAATACACTTTTAAGTTAATTGGCTTCAAAGAAACTGAAGTTTTGAAGCTCAGGCATTACTTGTCTAACGAAGAGAAAATTGTAGAAAAATATAAATTTCTACTTGACGGACTCAACATGAGCATGTTTTGGTGATCTCTACGTAACTTGAAAACTTTTGTAGATGTTGACAATGTATGTCACTTTTGTATACTACAAGAAATAATCAGCTATTTTTACATTTGTATAACAATATTCATACCAAGTTTTATGAACCTTGAATAACAATTTGTTACATTAATATAAACTAAGTAATTGTTAGTTTTACTAAGGATTTTTTGTGAGGATAGCAGGCTTACCAGTTTGGAGTCTTCCCCATTCAGGTAACTCTGCTATCCTAAAAAAAAAAAAAATACTAAAAGAAAGACTGGGCCCTTATGCTTTACACCCATAAAAAAAAAAAAAAAAAAAAAAAAAAAAAAACTATTCAGGTGGGGACGCCTCCTAGGTGTGTATTTTAACCCAAATATGAGTGAGGGATAAGTGTGGAATGGAGTAAGTTGATCCATGATTTTGTTCATCGAATGAGGGGAAACATAATAAAACAGGCATAGTTAAATAATATTCAAAAGACAAATGCTAAACATATTTTCCCCAGTAAACTGTTTTAATTCAAGATCATTTTGTTCACAGTGACCTGTGTGGGAATCAGTTTGAATTCAAAATTAAACAGAGTTTCATTTCAAATATCGAAAGACAATCTTGTTGAAGAAGGAAACAAATTTCAAAATTGGGATGCAATTTTTATTGGTGACTTGTTCTATGATTGGAGGGTTATGGATCCGCTTTTACCTAGGCTGTTCGAAGCCTGTAGACAGAATAAGACTGTACTTTTGGGTGATCCGTCGACAATCGTTAAACATAATCGGTCGTACAATGTAACGGCCCTGGCTGTCTATAATATGACTGAGTTTACCACAGAATGGTCTGGACATACGGACACTGAAGTTTTATTGTTGAATTGCTAGTGGATACAAATTGATTTATTGAAATAAAATAGTCAAGTTATGACACGTAAACTTATATGTGATGGTCTGGACATGCTGAAAGTGAAGTTTTATTGTTGAATTGCTAGTGAATATAAATTCAGTTGCAGAAATGCAATAGTCAAGTTTTGACTCATAAACTTTTATGTGATGGTCTGGACATGCTGAAAGTGAAGTTTTATTCTTAAATTGCTAGCGGATATAAATTGAGTTATTGAAATACCAATAGTCAAATTTTGACATGTTAATTTATATGTGATGCAGTTTCTTTTCTATTTTTGATACTTTTTTGTAAGGGAGGGTCCAAAACCTGGTCTTTTTATTCATTAATGTTACCATTTTATTTTTTTAAAAAGCAGCATTCATTTGTTGCTCAATAAGTGGCAACCTGAGTTTAGAATCAGCCACTTGAGATCAAACAGTAATATTCAGAGTCAAAGGAGGGTTCTATAGCTTAGTATTGTTCCTCCATGACTTTACACATACCTTCCTAAAGTGTTTTGTAAGAAACAAAACATTAACGGTCTTTACTTATGTAAATATGTGGTTATAGAATTTTGAATCAAAGTAATTTCAGTTATAGCCTACAGTAGTCAAGGGCCAGATATCATCTGCAGTTTTCTTCAAGTTAAACACTCTAGGTGAAACACTATCAGGCTCATTGTTAACAACAACACTCTGAAACTAATTATAAAAATAGGAACTACCAGATTTATGACCTTAAGTCGACTGTCGGACTTATGGTGAAATCTGCAACCAGCAACCAATAAATAAATTTCAATGACAAAGATATAGGTTGTTTTCATCTAGGATCAATTATTTAGCCCTATGGTTAAAGAATGAATTTTATGAAGGTGATTTATCTTTTAATGAAAGACCTTATTGGCTTTTTTTTAAGGAGGTTGGCGGCCTCTTTTAACCTTGCATTTGCCCGTCCACATAGACTAAGCACCCGTGCGTGGAGCGTTTACAGCAAAGCAAGGAGTGAGCCGGTCCAGTACAAAGGTGAACTGTACTGATAAATTTTAGTGGCAGTGACTAGTATCCGAACCCACGACATCGCTGCCTTGGGCCCAAAGTCCGCGACACTACCGACTGAGCCACCGACTAAATACAAATAAATGGATTTATTAATTGGTATCGTATACCTTTAGCTTAAGATCAGTTCCAAACCTCTGGGTTCAAAATTATGACATATCGGTAGCAAAACACTGTTTGTGATTGGCAAGATTTGAAGGATTCACTACAGAAGTTCTGCACTCAACAGCTACATCAGCTGCACCCTTTGATAAAAAAAAAAAAAAACAGCTGGGTCTAGTATGGTCCGAATCTGGACCCAGCTCATTAATGGTCCTAGATAAACTTGCTGGCAGATATTATTCTAAGGTATACAAAAATACCAACCATTCATACTCTCATCTTTACCTTAACACAAACACCCTGGTGTGTTGGCTTAGTAGTTCCTTGGCTTTTCTGCATACAAGAAATAGTAAAGCCTTGTTCCCACAACACCTGGTAGAGCAAAACAACAGATGTCCTTGAGCAGGGGCTCGAATCAATACGCGTCGTGGGAACAGCTTGTCTGTGGTCCTTGTACAGTAGGATGTGGTTCGTTTATGGCGAGATCGTTCCTGGCAGAAGTCGGTAAACTCATGAAATATCAAAGAATTGTGGCTAGTGTTCGGTGCAGGGGGGGAGGTGCACTCTGCACTTTTCTTCCCGCCAATCAGTGGGTATTGAAATGTACGAACCATCACGCATCGTGAGAACAGTAGTTTCACAAAGGTTTACTTTGCATATTCACTGGTCAAGGACATCCCTGGTTTCGCTCTACCACGCGTCGTAGGAACGAAGCTTAACAACCTTGATATTTCCAACTCATGGTCTTTTTTCATGAGTTTCCTCTTGACGTAGATTATTATACTCAGCATCCCATTTCAGAGCCAATAATATAAATACCCCCTGTTACAGCAAACCTGCAGGCTAAACAAATTTCCATTTACCCGGTTTTATTTCCAAATTTGATCAAAATAGATCTGTAAACAAGCTAAGTGCAACAGCCAAATTTCATCAAAGCTAAGTACTTTTTCATTACTTTTTTGCCAAGTACTCAAAATGGAATGGTTTTTACTCAAGTTATCTAAAAGTAATAAAAATATACTAGTGTACCTGTTGCTCGAATTCGAGCAATTGATAAGTATTACAGGGGTTATTTAAAAACGAATACCGTAACAGTCATAATTTCTGATGACTTTAAAATATCGACTCAAAGATTATGGAAATACTCAAGATTTACATAACAGATTGATACAATCAACATTTATTGTAAATAGTGCTTTCTACAAATAGCCTTACTCATAGCCGCATTAGGTTTCCAGACACATTGTGTGTCCAAAAGCCCAACAGCACGACTCCCTTCCCCATACTGCCCTGGGGGATAGGGATCATTGAGATTTGCTCTAACCTTTCCTCTCCCCTTCCTTTTCTTTCTTAGTTTTTGTTTCTTTTTTTTTATTTAAACACCTGTATGTATCCCTGGTTTTTCCAATTTCCCTAGCTACTTTTCTAAACGTCTCAATTGTTTCCTTGTCACTCATCATGTTTTATTTTCTTACCCAAGACTTATTCCTGTTCTCTCCTATTTGTCTCCTGAAGTGAACAATTTATCAATACGTGACTCGTGATTTTTATTTCTCCACATCTACATACTTCCTCTTCCACCATGTGAAATTTTCACAAATTTGCCTTGAAATTGTCCATGTCCTGTAACAAACTGCGTTTCATAATGGTCCATCTCCCAATCTTGTTCCAGCCTCTGTCCGAACGTTTACCTTTAAAACGTTAACACAAAACACTCTGCACCCAAAGCATTTGCCACTCATCTAATATCTCCTCTCTTCTGTTTCCAATGTATTCCTACCCGCCTCCTTGTCTTCCAAAATCAACAGCTTATGCAGCGGTTATCCAACAGTCCTAAATTGAATGTGAAATCTTCAGACTGCTGTTGGAGAGCACACTTAAACACTTAAACCCAACAAGGAAGGGTGCTTCCTGTATTCAGCTATCAATGACAATAGTATTATTTGTATTTCGTTCGCGTCTACCAGTTAAATTTTGTCGGCCTCCTCCAATTGGCCGACCAGGACAACGTCTTATAGTCTCCATTATGTCGAAGGTTTTTTGTTTATGTTTTGATTTTGTGCAAAATTTTAGTATAACAAGCTGTTTCAAATATTAGTGTCAATTTCAAAATGTAAACAAAAATTTTCTCCCTAAGAATAACATGGGAACTTTGAAGGCCACTGGGGCAGAGCCCATATGGAATTCCAAAGTTTTTTTGTTTGATGGCAAAACTAAATGCTAAGACCTTTCTAACGACACATTGGACATGGTGATCGGTAACACCACCACTCCAAAGCAATGATGACAAAAATATGCCTAGCGTATTAAATGTATAGATAATGTATATGAATTTTTAACAAATGGTGTTTTTAGCGGGGACAAAACTAATTGTAAAGTGGTCCCAGATCTAAGTCTGCCTACGAGACCTACAGTAATAACTTATAACCTATATAGGAAAACCACTAACAAATATTACGTTTTACATTTTCCACTAAACTAATATATTTTACACTTTTGTGAGTAGACAAGAAACCTTTTCTACAACATCCACAAAATTCACAAATTATAAGTAAAAGTCATAAGAGTTATTTAACTGAATTCAATCCACGGATCAAACACTTGTTAAAACTAGCACTCTGTATAATACTATCAATGAAACAATAATCAACAATCAATTAACTATCAGATCCCACTTGATTGATATCTAATCTCTCTGTAACAACAGTAGATTACAGTAAGTGGAAACACTGATAAACTCTACTGTCCAAATATATTACTTGCTTATCAGGGGATTATACATGAGCTCTCTGTTTATATTCTTGATTTTCTTTAATTTAAAGGAAAAATCAAGAAATACGTCTCAGGTGTAGTTTTTACCGACGACCACTAACATATCCTAAACAAAATACAGTAACAAAAAGCTAAAAATCTTATTTCAATCTACAATATGATTGTATGTTAAGTCAGTATTGTAGAATATTTCAATTAGCTACTGATAAAATGTCAAACATGGAACACAGGCTTTTTCCTATAGTCACCTGACAAAGTGGTCTTCCTTGCACTGATTAAAGTACAAACAGTTGTTAATTGCTGCATCTATTAACTTTTGCCGCACACGTTTTACTTTTACCGCACAACAATGTAATATGTGAATGATTGAAAATAAGTTGACAAAACTTAAAAATATTACAACTACAATCAGCTAGTGCAGCGTTTCCCATTTCGTTCAATGTTTGGATTTAACCTAACTTATAAACGTGATGTACAGTGTTTGAAAGATGAGTTATTTTTATGCTTTATAGTAACTTTTGGAAAAATATAATGTGAAACACTAGTGCAAACTGCCTTTGCCCATGGTTACACAAATAACTATTTTAATTTCATTATTTTTAATCAGGAGCAGAAAACTTTACATTGAACAATGAAGATACAATTCAAGCTTTGTCAAAGTACCGTGCTTCATAAATTGACAGTTGTATAGTTATTCAATAAAATATTGAATTAACCAAAAGTCATTTTGAAAATCTTACTTACTTACTGCTGGGGTGACTCAAATCTCTGTTTTGCCTTGTAGAGTAGTGCCATCCCTCCCCTCTTGTCTAGCCTCTGCCATCCTGATTTCTCCTATGCACTGGATCACATCCTTCTTCACATGGTCATACCATCTTAGTTCCATTAGGTACGGTCTGACAAACCACCTTCAGTTTTGTGCCCTCCTGCCTACGAAGTACTCCCAAAAATCTTCCCAATTTGAATATCAGCAATTAATTTACTGTGTTTCCTTTTTGTTAATTTGTTGACATTATTTGTTTTATGAATAAGATGGATATTTTCCTTTAAGAAAATGTGCATTTTTATAAACACTGTATTAAGGTTAATCACTAAATATTAAAAAAATGGGAATATCTGTGCGTTAAGACCAAACCATCTGTATTAACCCACGTTTCTAAATCAATTCGTGACTTAGGTTAATTTATTTACAGGTCGCCATGAACAAACCTAGGAGAAAATGGCGGAAAATCCTCTACGGGAACGAAGGTTACCCGGACAACTACACTGATGTATCGTTCCTGGACGAAATGAAGAAGAACATCAACATGCATCAAGTGACATTAAAAGAAGCTATTTTGGGAGCTGGATTGGTCACACAAGAGTTCTGCCTCGTCGTTCTGTTCATTGTTATCTTCATGTACCTTCACAACGGCTGGTTGCCTCTAGAACTCATTCTGGCTCAAACAGGAGTAGTTTCATTGTTCTGTTACGTGATCTGTATCTACAATGAATCTGGAAGATTACGCCACGTGCGAACCGTCCTAGTCTTTTTCATTTTCGGTTACATTTTATCTCCCGTGTTGAAAACACTGACTGAATCAATCAGTACAGACACGATTTACGCTACCACAGTTTTCATGATGTCTGTTCACCTGATTTTTTTCGACTACGGTGTCAAAGCTCTGATAGTGTCGAGTTCTTTATCGCTAAATTCCGCTATTTTTGGTGCCATTTGTCTCTCTTCTCGGCTGCCGAGTTCGTTCCACGTGTTTATTTTGTTGTGTTTAACAGTCGAGTGTTTTGTGATGTTACCGCTTGTCTTAGCGAAAGTAGAAGGCTCGTTTGGAACATTGTTTACCCTTACTTGTCTGACCGTTTACTCTCTATGGACGGTTTCGTTTACGATGACTGTGTTATTTGTTCTCGTTGTGTTGTTTATCAACGTTCTTTGTCCGGTTTGGTTCCTCAAGTGGTATAGATACAAGGAGAATATTTATGGACCTTGGGACGAAGCTGTTGTCGTGCCTTTAGCTTCTTCTGAAAGTTGAAAATGGACTTGAATGAACTTCAGTGTTTAGTGAGGTAAAAACAGTATTTTCAAATTTAAAATGTACAGGGAAGTACAACAATTATGGTAAAGCACGGTTGTACGGTAAAGTACTGTAAAATAGTATCTATGTTTTGAATTCAGTTCTTTGATTTATATGTTGATGTTGTTTTGCTGTTTCTGTGTTCACAATTTCTGTCACACGATTAAGAAAACCAAACAAATTCTAATTTAACTTTAAGTTCTTCACTAATTACACCTAATTGCAATTCACATGTTAAAAACCGCTATATTTGGTTTTAGCATTGACTATTATGGTAAATGAAAACACGGTACTACAAACACGGTATGATTTACGGTACTAGTGAAAATGAAACAGCTAAGCTTTCTGAATTTTAAATTAGAAATGTAAAGAAACAAAATGTAAACAAAGGATTTTTGCGTTTTGATCCTCTGATCGTCATTTTCTTTGTATAGTAGCCTTAAGGAAAGAGTATAAAATTGTATTAGTCTAAACACGTTTAATGTGTTAATGTAACTGACACCACTCTGCAGATTTATATTCTGTGTGTGCGTGTTGAATAAAGTTATTTTGATCCATGCCTAGTTGATTATGAGAAAACTTAATTCAAACCAAGAAAAACCAATCAATAATAAAGATTTTTATACAGGGTGTCCCGTAACAGCCAAACTCCAGGAAATGGTTCTATGGATCAAAATAAAGAGAAAATCATGAATAACATTTCTTCCAAAATTCAGATATCCACCATTTTGTATTTTTTACATAAACATTTTTATTTTTGGATATTTCAACCGATCTTTATAAAACTTGGTATGTAGGTTAAGGTAGAAGAGCCCCATGTTAGGAAAAAAAGTCATCTTGATTCAACTTAAAATGGCCGCCATTTGGAAATTTTAAATTGAATCAAGATGAATTTTTTCTAACATGGGGCTCCTCTACCTTAACCTACCAAGTTTATTTATAAAGATCGGTTGAAAAAATTAAAAAAAAAAATGTTATGTATAAAAAATACAAAATGGCGGATATCTGGTTAACAAAGCGATTTTGAAAAAAAAAATGTTATTCTTGATTTTCTCTTTATTTTGACCCATAGAACCATTTTCCGGAGTTTGGCTGTTTACTTACGGGACACCCTGTATAACCCTTGACATTAAATACCGAAGAAGACATCCCATCTCTACGGACCATAACCAGTTGTAGTAAGTTTTTGTGAATTTCCCTATAGGGAAGAAGGGCTTTTACCAATGGTCTCACCGTAAGAATTAGTTCCAGGACTGATTTACTTTTTAATTTTTATGTTCCCAGAGGCCAAAAACACTATCTTTTCAAATATGTTCGTATACAGGGTGATTGGTAATATTTTGGGGCGTTATTAATATTATGCAGGAAAATTGCAATAAAAACACCTGATTCGGATAGTTATATTTAACTCCTTTTACCGGAAACAGCAATGTTTAGATTTTTCTAAATTTCTTGATATCGCCTACAAAAATTTAATTTTTCAACTCTTAGTCAACATAATGATATTTTAAATTATTTTTTTAGAATCTGCATTAAACATTCTATTTGGAAAAAGTGTAGTTTTTTTATCCATGTTTACAAGACCCTACTGACTCGAATGAAATATTTTGATAAATCAATAAAAAGGCTGCCACAACTTGCTTAAAGATTTTTATACATCCTTTTATAAACTGTCAAAAAATACTTCCTCTCATTTTGAGCTTTAAAACCAAAAAGGCACTACAGCATGTGACATTTTATGTTCAGCTAAGGGAAGGCATATTGTGTTAAACATTGTTTGGATAATTTATTAATAGACTCTTTAATAAATAAGAAAGCAACTGAAAACAAGTGTGGAATTAGCTTGCAGAGTATTTCAAAAATATATATTACCGTACTCATTAAGTCTTTGCTTCCATTATGCAAACATAAAACCCACAATTATCGTTAAAATTGTGGTTGATTGTCTGTGTAGCCGAGGGGTATCAGTGCTCACCTTTTAATCTGATGGTTGCTGGTTCGATTCCAAGAGATCATTACTAGACCCAGATGCCATTTGTTATTGTGCTATCAAAAGAAATGTCAAGGTTAGATAGTATCAAAGACCAGGGTTTGGACCGTTTCCTTTCAAAATGTTGACAAATTACAATGACATAAACACACCCAAAAAAAATAAAAAAGTTGTTTGTCTTGTTTCAAACTCGAACCAACAAATTCAGTGTGACAGTTTCTGATGAGCGATTGATTTTGGAATGATGCAATTTAGGATATAATTAGGGGCGGTTCAACCTTAAAAGTTTATCTGAGTTGGTAACCATTGAAAATGTTCCAAAACCATTTGCATTTTCAAAACACACAACAAAATAAACTTAATAAATTAAACTTGTTTCCAGATAAAAAATTACAACTCCAGTGCATTTCGGCAAAAACACTTGGATGATGGATAAACTTATGAATCTCAGGAAAGCGGATCCCAAGAAGTTTTTCAACTTTACTCGTCAAGCCATAGAACAGCTGACACAGTCTACGTGTGATCATCATCTAACTCCCGAGTTACGTCTTCGTCTAGTAACTCCAAGATGTTACCTGTGGCATGAAGACTACAGACAAAGTCCCTTTAATGATCCCTACTGGGCTTTCTATTGGCCTGGCGGGGAGGCACTTACCAGGTAATCAAAATGTTTTTTCACTTTATCATTATTAGATATATTTAATTGAGGCGAAGACACAATGTTGTATATTTAACCTGGATCTAAGTAAAGCCTTAGTGTTGAGTTATTAACGTTTGGATGCTGAAGTAGACTCACCATCTATATTGACCAGCTAAAGCCAAATTTAAAAAAAATATAGTTGGATTAGCTTCTCACGGAGCAGCTAATGCTAAATATTTCTGGCACAACATAGTAGGGGTGAAAACGCATGTTCCTCTTGTAAGCAAGTTTTCTTTTTACCTTACATCTCTGTGGTTCTTAAGGTAAAGGTTGTATTCACCCTATTTACATTTTGCCAGCTTGGTTGGCATTTTCAGGAGGTCCTCTATCTTTATATCGTCATCAACACTATCTATACAAAATATTTAGACTTGACGTGACACTTGTATTTTGGTAGGTAATTAATATAACGATAAAGAAATATTTCAAATGTGTGATATGTATGTTAACTAGCTCACTTGTTTAAGATTTTGTAATACCTTTACCTTTGTGTCTTGTAATAGTATATTACGTTACTAGCCCAGTAAGTGGTGTTTTACCGTGCGAGCACGACAGTTCTCGCGCGAGGCATAGCTGAGTGGGGGATTTTTGTGCGAGTACGGTAATTTTTAATGTGCGAGTAACGTACGATACTTTTTTTACCGAAAAGTTTTTACCGTGCAGTGCACAGTAAAAGTACAAACCGTGACTTTTCCGTGTTTAGGCACAATAAAGGGCAACTTTGCAGCCTATACCTGTTTCTGTGTAGTATGATGTAAAAGATTTTATACACATTTATTTTACTTTCTGATATTTTATTGATCTTACTAGATATGTGCTGGACAACAAAAACATAACTGAAGACAGACACGTTTTAGATATTGGAAGTGGATGTGGCTCTTTATCTATCGCAGCGGCCAAACTGGGCGTTGCAGCTTCAATCACAGCCAATGACATAGACCCAGGCAAGTAAAATCTGTGATATTCACCATTATTTATCGTTAATGGCAATTAGTGGTTGATGGTGGTTCATAAATTGTATTAGATATCAGGATAAAATCACTCTTTTACTATTATTGATGTGTTTAACCAATTTTCTCCTGCTGAATGCTTGGTTCTAAAAGTTTTCTTGTTTTTCTAACGGATTCCGTAGAAATGAGGTTTTTGTTCACTTATACTTGTGGCTTATACTTGCTATTGTTTTGTTTTAATTTCTCAAATTCATTTGAACGCTTATGGCCTTGAAGAGTTTGATTTTTATTTCGTGTTTCAGACAAAGTTAAATCCTTTATCTTTTCTAGAAGCTCAAAACACGACTAAATAATGATTCATGATTTCATAATATGTCAAATTTAGGTTTTTGGGATTTATGATATAAAGTAGATTAGAAGTAGGAGCCAACTTTTCGGACGCTTTTAACAGCTATCATCGGGGCAATCTACGAGTACTATTCAACTGAATGTCGGCTTCTAGTCTAAATATTCAACGACGCGGTCATCATCATGAGTCTCATGGTAAGATATGAACCCAACCGATATACTTTTGAGGTCCCTAAAACACCATCCATTAAAATTCATATACGAGTATGTGTGTGTGTGTCCGTTAGCACGATAACTTGAGCAAAAATTATCCAATTTTGATGAAATTTGGTATTATCGTGTAATCCTACATTTATTTGAAAGAGTTTGTAAACCAGCAGCATGATCAGACATTAAAAACATGGGTTCATGAGTGGTTAAATGGGGTAAAAATCGTTTTTTTTTCTCTTATTTTTACACTAAAAACATAAAATTTTGCAATTTATTTCTATACAATTTTGTAAGGCTTAAAAACAAATAATTTAGTATATTGAAGCATTTTTATGCATCTAATGGTTAAGGAGGAAATTCCAAAAAACTTTAAATTTGAAATCCCCATGTTTTTCTTATGGAGGGTAAGTAAACTGTTAGTAATTTGATTTGATTTGATTTGATTTGTAGTTTGCTTGTTTACAAACAATAGGTACACATTAAACTAATGTTATTTGAATAGGGAGTGAATCTGAAATTTTTAAGGAGATATTTTAGTGAAAATGCAATCTGCTTTTAGTCTGCAGGTATGCTGCTGCTGGAGTATTTCTTTAATATTTCAAAAACATATAACAGCTGCAATTGAGAACAATCAAATTTATCGTCAAATAAAGTTCTTTACAGTATTGCGGCTCTGTTAGGTTTAGCCTTTTTTGGGCTTAATTAGGCTATGCCTGGTTTTAAGACTAAAAAGCCTAATAGCCAAGACTTTTAAGAAATT